ACACAAATGTGTGGAAGAGCTATGTTCACAACAGCCCCAACCTGGAAACAGTCAGGATGTCCTATAACGGGTGAGTGTTGAGCAAAGTATAAAGTCCACCACACCACAGAAGACTGCTCAGGGATTAAAAAAAAAAAAGAACCAACTACTGACACACAGTAATCTGGATGAATCCCCAAAGAATCATGTGAGTGAAAGTAGCCAATACTAAAAAGTAACACACAGTATGGTTTCACTTACATAACCTCTTTGAAATTACAGCTATGGCAGACAGATTAGTGGTTCTCAGGGATGGAGGGGGAGGGTAAGAGAGAAGTGGGAGTGGCTACAGAAGGGCTACAGGGGGTCCTGCTGGGGTGGAACCTTCTGTATCTCCACTGTGTCAGTGTGGTTGGGATGCAAGCCTTCTTGTATCATTAGAAGGTACATGGGACCTCTCCGTAGATTTCCTACAACTGCATGTAAACCCTCAATTATCTCAAACAAAGTTTAGTTTTACAAAAACAGCCAATCCCCATATCTCCCTGCAGTTACCTCCCACTACACCTCCTGGGGAACTCCTTGCAAGAGAGGACTCTCTCTGCCATCCTCATTCCATACTGCCTTCTCCTGCACATTCCAAGACTTTATCCCCACCTCTAACACTGCTCTTGTCAAGTTTAGCAGCATCTTTCTCGACCTCTCAGCAACATCTGACTTGGTTGATCACTTTTTTTTTTAAGATTTTATTTATTTATTTGACAGAGAGAGACAGAGCGAGAGAGGGAACACAAGCAGGGGGAGGGGAGAGGGAGAAGCAGGCTTCCCGCGAAGCAGGGAGCCCGATGCGGGGCTCGATCCCAGGACCCTGGGATCATGACCTGAGCCGAAGGCAGACGCCCAACGACTGAGCCACCCAGGCGCCCCGGTTGATCACTTTCTGAAAACTTTTTTCTTGGCTCTCCTTCCGACACAGCTCCTGGTGGTGTTCCTGCCCTGCCTCAACGGCTCCACCTTGGTCTCTTTTGCCTGCTCCTTCTTTCCTACTTGGCTTCTGAATGTTGGAATTCCACCAACAGCCAAGTTTGGAGAGGGCTCAGTCTTTGCCCTTCTTTGCTTCTCCTTCTACAAGCTTTGCTGAGAAAATCACATCCTCTCCCAAAATGTTGAACACTATCCATGACCTCAGACAGACACCCTCAGCCCTGCCGTCTCCTCTGAGGTCCCTGTCACATACCCAGCTGTATACGCAGCAACTCCCTTGAATGAAAATAGTTCTCTGAAACGTTATGTGGCCAAAGCAGAGGCCTTGGGCTCCACTACTACTCCACTGAAACAAAACTGAGCAAATACCTCGCTCCCAAGTCTCCCTTCTCAAGAAAAGGCACCACCTCTCCCAGGGCTGAAGTCACATCCTCTTTGGCTCCTCTTTCCCTCACATTGCACACCCAATTGACGAGCAAGCCCTCCCTGTGCTCAACACACAGCCTTTGCACACATATATCTAAACACCCCTTCTTCAGATCTTTATGTAACCAGTACGGTGGACATATGCAAAACCATATGTATCTACTCATAAACCAACTTTATTTACCTCCTACTGTCCCTTTGAACATACTCATGTTCCTGGATAAAATTTGGTTAAGTCCTGTGGCTTTTCTTTTTTTTTTTTTTTTAAAGATTTTATTTATTTATTCATGAGAGAGAGAGAGAGAGAGGCAGAGGCAGAGGGAGAAGCAGGCTCCCCGCGGAGCAGGAAGCCCGATGCGGAACTCGATCCCAGGACCCTGGGATCATGACCTGAGCTGAAGGCAGACGCTTAACCGACTGAGCCACCCAGGCGTCCCATGTCCTGTGGCTTTTCTGATAACTCCTGGGTAACAGGAAGTTCTAAAATCACTTCAAGTAGAAAACAGTCTCAATTCAGTGATTAAGTGTCCAGTCCCAGGTGGTAATAAACTACTTAACATGCTTTGCACTGAGAATATCCACTCTTTCAGCTGCCTGCTGCAGCTGGTGGCTTTCACGGGGAGATGGGGCATGGTCCCTCTTTGCCCCTCCACACATAACACTGTTCCTTCTTCCTCAGCTTGCTGTTGGGTTTCTGACCCCAACACCCTCCAAGCAGGGGAGGGGGAGGAGGGGGCAGGCGAGTTGTGCCATGCGAGGCACTGTCCTGAGATCATCTCTTCTCTCTGTGCCTGACAGAAATTTCCTGCTGACTTGTCTCCCACAGGCACTTCTCTGGGTTCTTTTAGGACCCATTTGACTTCTCTTACTTTTCAAAATGCAGGCAAGGCACTTCTCCCTCAGTCGGAGAACTCCCCCACCCACCACTGCCAGTTTTTCAGCAGTCATTCTAAACAGATGTTCTCTGCTGAGACCTCATCATCCCCCTGGTCAGAATTTAAATGGGCTCCAGGCTGCCCACTACCCCCTGGCTACAGCTGGTCCATGAGAAGCACTCACACATCCTCCTCCCCTGTTCCCAACATCAAGTGTTCTCTCCATCTCTCTCCTTCCGCCCCACTGCTGCGGGCCAATGTCTCCTCCCTCGACATACAGGCACTGTCTTGAGCCTCCACATTCAAGGAGCATGTCTGAAAGGGCCATAAAAGCCGCACTCACTGGGCTGGAGGAGAAGGGTACGTTCTCTCTCCAAAGAACCCCCTTTAAAAACCCTGTCTGATTTGCAACAACCCTCCCTGTTAGTGTGGACAGTGGACCAAGATCTTGGCCACCTGCTCTGGGCACCAGCCTCATAGCTCACCACAGTCATTGTGTCCTGGTGCCTTGCCAAACCCCCAACGCACAATCCCATAGCGCCTGTATGTCTGGCTTCCAGACCTTGCCAGGCCTTGCTTTCACAAGGTTCTCTAACTCATCACTCCTTGCTCCTCATCCTCCTTTGTTGTCTTCAAAGCACTTGCCATTATTAGGCCTTTATTGAAGGCCTCCTGCTCGTCACTGTACAAGGAGCGTCTCAGGGAGTGCCCAGAGAATGGGTTCCATGGAAATATGTGTCTGATGAATCCTCTGTGGCTCTCTTGACCAGTGCCTCCTGCCCCAGGGTCAAGTTCCTGCCCAGCCCCTCCCCCACAGGGCACAGACCCACCAGTCTGAGTCATCTGGGCCGACGGCCAAGTCCCAGTGGGCACCGAAAGCTGCAGAAACCTGTTCTAGCAGTCCTTGTTCAGGTGGGGTTGGCAGGGATGTGGCCAGCTCAGAGCTATTTTTAGGGTCCGTCTTTGGGAAATTATTCTTTGATTGGCTGCAGGAAGAGAACAGCCAAGCTCCTCATAACCACCTTTGTGCCCATTCCTCTTTTCCTCAATTAAAAAGAGCCTGTCATGAGACACGACCCCTACTCCAAAGAGGGATCTGGTTCAAGGGACTTTGGGCCAGCTTTTCCTTAACTCCTCATCTTCCCTGTGCCGGCTCAATGAGCATTTACCAAGCATTTGCTGGACGCCCAGCCCTGAGATCTACCTGGGTCTCTATGAACCCAGGGAGAAGGCACAGAGCAAAGGGCCCCAGTCTGTCCCTTTACTCCCATCCATCACACCACCAGACTACACCACCATCGTTTCCTCCCCAGGCTCCTTGAGGCTGAGGAGCATAGGGCTCCAGGGGCTGATAGCCCAAACCCCACCTCAGCTTACAAGTGGCAGGCTCAACATGAAGTATCTTGTACTGCAGGGTCCTCCACCCGCAGTACCCATGCAGAGCACACTCTAGCTATCCAGAACACAGCCATCTACTAGCTGTACCTTTCCAGCCAAACCTTCCAAGACTCCTAGCTTGTGTGTACCTTCTTTCTCTACCTCCCAAAACCCCTGAGGGCCTAATTTAACTGTGCTCATGCCCTGGCAGCTCACAGGGCTATGGGGGGTGGAACGTAGCTAGGGCTTTTGTCACACAAAAGAAGAGGCAGCGTTCTGGGCGCCTGGGTGGCTCAGTTGGTTAAGCGACTGCCTTCGGCTCAGGGCATGATCCTGGAGCCCCAGGATCGAGTCCCGCATCGGGCTCCCTGCTCGGCAGGGGGTCTGCTTCTCCCTCTGACCCTCCTCCCTCTCATGCTCTCTGTCTCTCATTCTCTCTCTCAAATAAATAAATAAAATCTTTAAAAAAAAAAAAAGAAGAGGCAGCGTTCTGCTCAAGCATTCAGGGTAGAGCCCTCCAAGAGGAGCTTCAGGTGGAGGGGAGATGGGGGAGCGAGACGGGTCACCAGGCAAGGGCCTTAGACCAGTTTCTGTCCCGGGCACCAACCCAGACTGCCACTGTGATGGGCAGGTACTCTAATGGGCAAGAGGGTCAAGGGCAAACAGTACCAGAGAGACGCAGCAGAGAAGACAGAAATGTGCAGGACACACGCTCTGACCCCAGAATCCCAGCGTCATCAGAGAGGTCTCCCTACATGCCGGCTCCGTGCGGCCCTGAACCCTGCCCTGCTCTGTCTTCATCCCACAGCCTAGGGACAAGGCGAGGCCAGCAGGCTCCACTTCCCCTCACTCCATCCAGAAAACGCAGCAGGCATGGCAGTGCTGGTAGTCCCTAAGCTGCTGCTAGTCTCACGGCCTTGAGCAAATTAAACAAGCTCTCCATGCCTCAGTTTCTTCCTTGTGTGATGGGGTTCTTGAGATGATTCTATGAGTTAACAGGGATGAGGCCCTTCACGCAGGGCCTAACTCGCAACAAGCTTGCGGGGAGCCTGAGGGTCATGCTGCGGCCGTCTCGACCATCAGCCATAGCATCTCTGGAAGTGTCTGCCTGGCCCTCAGTGTTACTTTCAGACGAGAAGCTGTCCTGGAGACTCTAGGACCAAGGTCCAGAGTTTGAGTGGACAGTGATGACAGTGGGCCCTTGGTGGAGCCATCCGAAGGAAAGGCCTATAGTTCATCCTACAGTGGACAAAGGAGCTTGGGACCGGGCAGAGGCTCGTAGGTCAGAAACATCACCCCAAATGAGACCCCAGGAGCTCCAGGGCCCATCCACAGTCCCAGAGCCAAGATGCAACTCACGTTGTAGAGGATGTCAGTCCAGCCCTCCATGGTGATGCACTGGAATACCGTCAAGATGGCAAACAGGATATTGTCAAAGTTGGTGATGCCAAAGTTGGGCCCTGGCCAGTATTCCCGACATTCAGTGTCACCCTCACACAGCCGGGCTGGGGCCTCTTTGCCACAGGGGAAGTCACCCACTGGATCTGGATCTGTGAAGAGAAGAATGAAGCACAGACCCTGAGCCCAGAAACACCAAATTCTCCAACCCCTGCTGGGATTCCTGGGCTGTGGAGACATCGGGGCGGGTGGGGGTAGGAATCAAGCACCAGTGGAAATCCTCCCTCAACTTCCCACCATCCCTCCGTGCACCGACTTTCTCCCCGTGCCTGCAATCCGCCTTCCCCTGAGCTCAGACCAAACTCTTCCTCTCGACTAGAACCTGCCCCTCACTGTTTACTTATTCACCTGAAAATCAAAAGAGACAAAGTCCTAACATTCAATTCTCCCTTCCACTACCACCCTAATTTCTCCCTCACAGCCAAGCCACCACCAAGACTCCCGACATGCAGATCTGCCTGTCACTCGGAGCCAGTACCAAGCTGGAGTCAGCCCCTGTGGTCCCTACTCATCAGGCAGGTCAGCTCAGAGCTCAACCCACGTGTGCCCAGAGGCTGGCAGGGTGCCGCAGCGCCCAGGCCTCTCTGCGCTGGCCCCTGCAGAGTCCATGTGCTTCCACCAGCCTTGATAGGAGGTTTTTGAAAACCATGAATGATTTAAATTTTAGTAAAAGCTTTCTCTGCATCGATTGAGATGAACATATGGTTTATCTGCCTCACTGCAAAATACACCCAGAACCCAACCCGTTCTGACCACCTCCCCAAAACAGCCTGGCCACAGGCACCATCTCCTCTGGATGGAGATATTAGCCTCCTACTCGAGCCTGTTTCTGCCTTTGCCCTCCTGGAGCACCCAGAACAATGAGATGACATCACTCCTCATTCAGAGCCCTCCACCACCTTCCTGACTTCTCTCCGAATAAGACTCAGAGTTCCCACCACAGCCACGGAGCCCACGTGATTTCCCCTCTGTTCTCTTTGCTCCTCACTCTGGCCTCTGCACGCACTGTTCCTTGTAACTGGAGCTCTCTGGCCCGGTGGCCACCCAGCAATCCCTCTCACCGCACTCTCATCACTGCTAGGTGGTCACCTCAGGAGAGAGGCCTCCCCTGGCTGGTCTCTGTGAAGCAGGCTCCCAAACTGTTCTATTGCAAATTCTCCTTCTGTTTTTCGCTGGAAGTTACTACAACCTGTGATCATTGTGTTTATGTGTTTCTTCACGTATGTGTTTTCCAGGTTGCGGTGTGTGTCCCCAACTGGAATATAAGCTCCACCCCGTTCACCTGGCACGTAGGGCAGGGCCTATCTCCAGGATGAATGAGTCCGAGGGGTGCTGCCAGGCCTCACCTGTGCCGTTGGGGAAACAGGCCTTGTGGAATTTGCCCATGTAGAACTCGAGGCCGATGATCGCGAACATAAGGATGGCGAAGAAGAGAAGCAACCCAATCTGCAGGAGTGGAACCATGGCCTTCATGATGGACTTGAGCACCACCTGCAAACCTGGGCCAGAGCAGCCACAGCAAGGCAGGTCAGAGGAGAGTGGGCAGTGCAGGAGCATGGGTGGGGGTGTGGGCAGACCAGCCAGAGCCTGGGCTGGGCAGCACTGGGGGTCCTGGGGCAAGGTGCTGAGTTGGGAGCCCTCAAAGTAGGGAATGGAGCAGGGAGTATGGGGAAGCATGAGTCTTGGGGGAATAGCATGCGCTTACAGGAGAGTCCTCAGGGTAGGGGACCAAACGTAAGTCTTGGAGGGAAGTGGACGAGCAATGTCCCAAAGCAGAGGAGAAGCAGTGTGTGGGGTGTCAGAGTATGAAGTCTGGGGAGGGATGTGGACCTATGGAGGGCTCTGGGTGGCACAGTGAGAGCAAAGAGTCCTAAGGGGAAAGGTGAGGGGGTGCTGGGAGAGAGAAGCAGAAGATTCTGGCGGCTGAGAGCAGGAGATCTTGGGAGGGAAGTACAGGAGTTCCCAACAGGCCCAGTTCCTTAGGGACCTGAAGCAAAGGACCCGCTCGCAGGAGTGCTGGACCACTAACCATGAGGCATGGCTCTGTCCAGGCCAAAGGAACTCAGCACACAGAGGAAGCTCAACCCCATTGCCTCCTTCCCACCTGGCCCCAGCTCTTAGATACAGGCCTTTGCTTTCCCCTGGCAGGGTCGCGGGGCAGAACGGGGGCTTCCCTGAAGTGGCCTCAGGGGGACACAGCCCTAGGTCCCTGCCCACCTGGGGCTCTGAGAGAAACCCAACACCAAGGTAACCCTGGCCATTCTCCTGCCCAGGCTTGGCTCCTTGAGCAACTGAATCCAGGAGCATGTCTTAACCTGGCCTCAGTTGTCCATGGCCCTGCCAAGCCTGACCCAAGACAGGTGATCCTTTGCAGCCTCTGGCTATCTTCTCAGGCATCCTGCCCACCACATTCTCAATCTCTTATCTGTACTTTAACCCCAGAAAAAGAAGCAAAGAGCTGGAAATATAGCAGAGAATGTGAGGAGAAGCAAAGCTTCCAGCTGGGGAAGCCAAGTCAGGGCAAAACAACAGGGCCACTTTCTGGGCCTCTTCACACCTGGTTCCCAGGGGTCAGGAGCACTGAGCTTAGAGTCACCAAAGCCAAAGGGGCCACTGGTTAGGGCTTAACTGTGTCCATGGCCATAGTGGAGTTGGGGGAGGAGGTTAGTGATCCAGGTAGGCTTGGGCCTAATTGCTCTTGCCAGACTCACTCGGAATCCCAGACACCAACTTCAGGGGCCTGAGCACGCGCACAGCCCGCAGGGTCCGCAGGTCAAAGTCAGTGCCAGCCGTGGCCAGGATCCTGGCAGGAAAAGAGAAGGAGGAAACTAAAGGCTTCCATGTTCAGGTGAGAGAACACATGCCCCACCACCCCATGTCCTGTCTCCCAAGAACAGTGACACCATTTTGCCTGTGTCCTCCACTGTCCAAACACAGGGCTGGCACAGGGTATGAGACTTGCCAGGCAGGAGGAGGCAGGGACTCAATTCAGACGTCCCCACAGTAATGTTAGCAATGGCTGTTTCCAGTATGACCATCCCTCCAGCTCGAAGGAATCACCCTGAGAGGACACTTGGTCTCTGGCGCCTGGCCTGGCCTTGAATCTGCCCTCAAACTAAATCCAAGCCAGAACCAGGTCCCCAAACCAACCCCAATTGCGCTGCAAACAGCCTCATAAGAGGTGGTGAGGAGTGGAAACGGGGGTAAAACAGAGGCTGAGGTTCCTGAGCAGGCACCACACATGCCCTTCTTCACCTTCTCTCAGGAGAACAGTGGGGCGGGGCAGGGTAGGTGGAAGAGAGGGTTCAGGGGACTCAGGAAAGCCATCATAATCAGTTCCATTAGCAGAAAACATATTCCAATGTCTCCCATTTCAAAAAAAACAAAAGATCTGATATCCACCTCTCAGCACGGCACATTTCTCTGCTCCCTTCACACCAAAGCTCAATCAGAGTGTCAGTCCTGGGTCTCCCCACCACCGTATCTTCCTGTCCCCATTAGGCTCTCACCCACACCATTCCGCTGATATGTCGTTCGAGCCTGTGTCTTGCCAACTCCGGAGGTCAAGTCTCCCTCTCTAAACGGTTTCTTCTCTGTCCTTTGGTCAACTCTCTCATTTCCCTCGAATTCCTCAGGAGCCCCTCCAGGTCTCGACTGCCACCTTTGTCTCGTCCACCAGACTTGAGAAGTGGATGCCCTGGGGCTCACTCCCAACAGGATCTATGCCATAGCTCTGAATACCACAGCATGCTTATCACTCATAACCACACACCTTTAACTCAAATCTAGAACTGAGGACTCATACATCCAGCTGCCTTTTTAACATTTCCACTTGGTTATCAAAAAAGTGTATCAAGCATTATATAATTAAAGAACTGTTTTTTAAGTGTTAATGTTTAAAGGTGTTGAAACATGTATTTCAACACTTAAAAAGTCCAGAGCTGTTCCATTGTGGTGACTAAGAACTTTGATTCTTACCCCCAGCCTTGCTTCTTCCCCAATAGCCACTCAGGGAGCACTATTCGTCAATTGTTATTTCAGCCAAAATCAGGGATTCACCCCTGACTCCTCTCTTTCCCTCACTTTACATTCAATGCACCAACAATCCTGGCAGCTCTGCATCCTGGACTCTTGGTGAAGAAGGCTCTTGAGATATGTGGCAGTGAGAATAGAAATTGAGATGGAACTATGGTCAAAATAAGATGAAACTCTCAGTGGAAAGGAAAAGAGAGGCAACCAAAAAATAATCTATTCAAACCAAAAGTCCAGAGCACATGAAGAAACCCAATGCTATGAGAGACATTCAACTACCAAAATTGACTGCTGGAAGATTAATTTTGTTCCGATGAAATCAACAAATTATGAAACAAACACAGCCAGAAACAGGTAGGTATTTTAAAGACTAGCTAGTTTTGTCAATAAACAAATAGTTATTAAAATAACATCAGTAATAATAATAATAAATTACACTCTGGGCTGAAGACACAGTTTGAGAGCATTAATGATTTGGAAAATAGTACAGAGGCTGGTACTGAAGAACTCACCCACAGACATCAAAAAGCCAAAGAAGGAACATGAGAGAGAAATTGAGCAGAACAGAGGTTAGATCATCTGCCCAGCACACATCCGGTGTGAGCTGTGGAAGAGAACAGGAGAGAGGGTGAAGAAGCGACACTTGATCCATTCACAATAGTATCAAGAAAGAGTGAAATACTTAGGAGTAAAGTCAGCCAAGGAGGTGGAAGATTCGTACACTGAAAACCACAAAACATTGCTGAAGGAAGTTAAACAACACTAAACAAACTTAAAGACACCCCAGAAACTAGAAACCTTAATATTGTTAAATGTCCACACTACCCAAGCAAACTACAGATTCAATGCAATCCCTATCAAAACTCCAATGACACTTTTTGCAGAAATAGAAAAATTCATCCTAAAATTCACATGGAATCTCGAGGGGGGAACCCTGAATAACCAAAGCAATCTTGAAAAAGAACAAAATTGAAAGACTCATATTTTCTGATTTCAAAACTTACTACAAAGCTACAGTAATTAAAATAATGTGGTACTGGCATAAAGACAGACATACAGACCCACAGAATAAAACAATAACCCAAAAACAAATCCTCACACATACAGTCGATTGATACTCAATAACAGTGCCCACACCATTCAGTGGGGAAAAGACAGTCTTTTTACCAAATTGGGCTGGGAAAACTGAATATCAACATGAAAAAAAAATAAGTTGGACCCTTAGCGTATATAGAAAAAGTACCTCAAAATGGATCTTTGCTTATCTAAACGTAAGACCTTAAACTATGAAACTCTTAGGGAAAAAAATAGGAGAAAATCTTCATGGCATTGGATTTGGCAATGATTTCTTGGATATGACACCAAAAGCCTGGGCAATAAAAGAAAAACACATTGGACTTCATCAAAATTTAAAACTTTTGTGCATCAAAGGTCCCTATCAAGAGAGTAAAAAGGCAACCTACAGTGTGGGAGAAAATATCCACAAATCATTTGTCTTATAAGGGATTAATATCCAGAATGCATAAAGAACTCCTACAACTCAACAACAACAAAAACCCAATTTAAAAATAGGCAAAGGACTTGAATGGATATTTCTAAAAAATAAAGATACACAAATAGCCAATACATACATGAAAAGATGCTCAACATCACTAACCAGTGGGGAAATGCAAATCAAAACTACACAGAGCTACCACCTCACACCCGTTAGGATGGCTAGTATTAAAAAGAAAAGAAACGTTTAAGTGCTAGTGAGGATGTGGAGAAACTGGGAGCCTGTGCGCTGTTGGTGGGAATGCAAAATGGTGCAGCCGTTGTGGAAAACCATATGGCAGTTCTTCAAAAAAGTTGAACGTAGAATGACCATGTGATCCAGCAATTCCACCTTTAGGTATGTAACAAAAGAACTGAAAACAGGGTCTAAGAGATATTTGTTCAGCTCATAGCACCGTTACTCACAATAGCTAGAAGGTGGAAGGAACCCAAGTGTACATTAACGGATGAAGGGAGAAGCAAGTTATGGTATTTACATACAGTGCGGTATTAATCAGCCTTAAAAAGGAAGGAAATTCTAACAGAAGATGCAACACGGATGAACCTTGAGGACACAATGCTGGTAAAATAAGCCAGTCACAAAAAAACCCCACAAATACTGCTGATTCCACTCACATGAGGTACTTAGAGCCGTTAAAATCATACAGACACAGAGTAGAATGGGGGCTGCCAGGGTCTGAGAGGAGAGCTGGCAAGTTAGGGTTTAACAGGGACAGAGTTTCAGATTTGCAAGGTGAACAGAGTCCTGGAGACAAAGGGTAGTGTTAGCTACATTTAACACCACTGACTGCACTTAATAGTGACTCAGATGCTTGGGGCGCCTGGGGGGCTCAGGCGTTAAGCGTCTGCCTTCGGCTCGGGTCATGATTCCAGGGTCCTGCGATCGAGCCCCGCATCATGCTCCCTGCTCAGCGGGAAGCCTGCTTCTCCCTCTCCCACCCCCCCTGCTTGTGTTCTCTCTCTCGCTGTGTCTCTCTCTGTCAGATAAATAAATAAAATCTTAAAAAAAAAAAAAAAAAACAGTGACTCAGATGGCAAAGTTCATGTTCTTTGTGTTTCGCCACAATTTTATCTTATTTATTTATTTATTTATTTTTAAGATTTTATTTATTTATCTGACAGAGAGAGACACAGCGAGAGAGGGAACACAAGCAGGGCGAATGAGAGAGGGAGAAGCAGGCTTCCCGCTGAGCAGGGAGCCCGATGCGGGACTCGATCCCAGGACCCTGGGATCATGACCTGAGCCGAAGGCAGACGCTTAACCGACTGAGCCACCCAGGAGCCCCTCGCCACAAGTTTTAAAAATTAGAAAATAAAGAGGCCTAATTGCAGAAAGCAAACCCTAAAACTTTGAAACAAACAAACAAGAAAACAGTTCTATGATTGTGAGGTAGGGAAAGGTTTCTAAAGAAGACATAAAAATCCCAAACCATAAAGTAATAGGTTGATAAATTTGACTACAATAAAATTTAAACTATAACATGGAAGATACTATGGATAAAATGCACATAACTGACATAGAATGTCTCCAGAATATAGAAAGAGTTCCTATAAATTCATATTAAAAATACAAATAACCTGTCAGAAAAATCAGCAAATTGCAAAAGAGAAAAGAAGATGCTCAAAACCACTGGCAATCAGGGAAATTCAAATTACACTACAGAGGAGATGTCATTTCCTCCCTTCATGTAGCCACGTCGCAGCCAAGCGGTGGTGAGCAGCCGCCCTGCGAGCAGAAGACAGAATTGTAGAATCATTTTGGAGAGCATTTGGCTACTTCTAGAAAACTTTAAAATGAGCATCCCTGTGACTCAGAAAACCACTTCTAATGCATACTAGACATGTCACACCAACGCCTGCAGAAATATGTGCAGGCATGTTCACAGCCGCACTGTTCCTAATAGCGAAAAGCAAAAAAAACCCCTGCAGCTCATCACAGGAGAGAGGAAAAATTAACTGTGGTATAAGAATGCGATGCAATGTTATTCTGTGTAACATAGGGATGGGCATGTAAAATTAGATAAACCTGCCCACATTAACATGGAAAATGTTTAAAACAATGTTAAGGGGTGAAAATGCACGTCACGAAGTAATGACGTATCCGTGTCAATACATACACACGAGCAATACTGTACATGACTTGTGGACACCGACACACGAGGTAGAAGTTGGAATGCTCACACACACATTGGCCTCGCAACCACACATCAGGACAGT